GAACTGCCAAGCAGGTCAAGTAATCATACAGAGGGTAAAAGCAGGAAAGCAACATGAAAAAAATAATCCAATACATATTAGTTGTAACTATCCATGTAAATGGTCTCAACTTACCAGTCAAAAGAAGCAGACTGGCAGAATGGATCAAGAAACAAGATCTTACATTCAAGAAATGCAATATGCTGCATTCAACAAACACAATTAATCCAAAAGGAAATTCACAGACTACAAGTTAAAGGATGTTTTAAAAAAAAAAAAAAAACCTATCTATGCCATAGGAACCCAGAAAGTAAACTTCAAGCCAAAATTGATTGAAAGACTCAAGGGAGGTCACTACATATTTATGAAGGGAAAACTCCAAGAAAAAGAGATATCAATCATAAATATATATCCACCAAATACTGGTATACCCAATTACATAAAACAAATATTAACAGACATGAAAAACCAAATAAGCACTAACATAACTGTAGCGGGGAACTTAATATCCCACCCTTGCAAACCGATCAACTAGACAAAAAAAAAAAAGAAAGAAAGAAAGAAAGAAAGAAAGAAAGAAAGAAAGAAAGAAAGAAATTTCAACAAAGGCATATCAAATATGTTAAATAATGCCTGGGAACAAATGGACTTGGTAGATGTCTACAGAGTGTTCCACACCAAAATATCAGAATAGAGGGCAGATTAAAGCACCTGTAGGGAGGTGCAGGGGCCGGGGATTAAATCCAGGGCCTAATGTGCTGGCCCGACCCCCGGGGCACACTGAGAAGGCAAATGAGACTGGGTGTGGTGGTGTGTGCCTGTAATCTCAGTTCTTGGGAGGCTGTAAACAAGTGGATCACTATGAGTCTGATCTAGTAGTGAGACCATGAACACCCTGTAGACCCTTTCCTAAAGTACAGAAAAAAACAACAACAAAACATCAGAATACATATTCTTTCAACTGCACATGCTATGTTCTCCAAAACAGGCCACATGTCAGTCCTTAAAACATGTGTAAGTAAATGTAGAGGAACTGAAATCATTCCAAGATAACTATATCACCACGGTGTAATAAAACTGGAAATCACTGATAAAGATACAAAGGCAACATATATACATGGAAATTAAACAACAGTCTTCTAAACAACCAATGGGTCACAGAGAAATTAAGGACAAAATTAAACAATATGCACACTTAAACACTTAAATATTATTTTGCCAATACAATATACTGAAACTTATGGAACACAATGAAAGCAGTCCCAAGGCAGAAATTTATAGCAATAAACACTACATCAGGAAAAAAGAATGAGCTCAAACAATACCAAACTTGAAACTTCTACAAAAAGAACAAATCAAACTCAAGCTCATATGGGGGAGGAAATTATAAAGAGCAGAAACTGATCCAACTGAGAGTAAGAAAACAATACAAAGAATCCATGGATTGAAAAGTTGGTTCTTTGAAAGAACAAAATCAATAGGCCATCAGCCAACCTGATTAAAACAGAAAGAAAAAACACAAATTCAAGCAATTAAGAATGTAAAGGGGAAATCACAACAGATCCTACAGAAATTCAGAAGATCATTAATGCCTATTAAGAGAATTTATATTCTAATAAGAAGGAAAACAAAAAAGAAATGGACAGATTCCTAGATAGAATGGAATTGCCAACACTAAATCAAGAAGACATAAAAACTCTAAATAATCTGTTATCAGGCAATGAAATTGAAACTATAATTAAAAAGTTTACTAAGAAAAGTCCAGGTCCTGACAGAGTCACTCTTGAATTCCACAAGAAATTTAGGGAATACTAAATTTCTAATTAGTATCATTAGAAATTTAATGATACTAATGCTGAAACTCTTAAGGAAATTAAAAAGGAAACGATACTTCCAAAATCATTGCTGGAGATAAGTATCATCCTGATTCCAAAACCAAAGAACCCCAACCAAAAAAGAAAAGTACAGGTCAATGGCACAAATGAACACAGATGCAAAAATATTCAATAAGATACTGGCGGGGCCGTGGATTAAGCGCTTCCCTGGCAAGCGTAAGGGCCTGAGTTCAATCCCCAGTTCTGCCAAAAAAAAAAAAAAAAAAAGATACCGGCAAACAGAATGTAACACGAAGATGATTATACATCATGACCAAGTAAGACTGAATGCATATAGGCATGGATGCAGGAATGGTTCAACATACGCAAATCAACAAATGTAAAAATAACTATTAACAAACCAAAGACAAAAATCACATGATCATCTCACTAGAAGCAGAAAAAGCACTTCACAAAGTTCAACACCTATTCATCATAAAAACTGCACAGAAAATTGGAATAGAAGGCCTTTATCATAATCTTATAAAAGCTATCTATGACAAACCAACAACCAGAATCATACTAAATGGTCAAACACTGAAAGCTTTTATTCTAAAATCAGGAACAAGACAAGGACATCCACTGTCACCTTTCTTATTCAATACAATTCTGGAAAATTATAGTAATCACACAAGATAAAGAAATAAAATGAATATGGATAGGAAAAGAAGAAGTTAAATTACCATTACTTGTAGACCACATAGTACTCTATATAACCACCCAAAATGCCCTATCAAGAGACTTGTAGATTTAATAACCATATTCAATAATGTAGCTCAATACAAAGTCTACACTCAAAAATCAGTAATATTCCTGGTACACGAGCAACAAAATCAAAGGGAGAGAAATTAACAACACTTTACAACAATAACACAGAAAAATATATTTAAAAAATGGGAAATCAATCTAGCAAAGGAGATAAAAGATCTGTACATTGAAACTGACAGTACTCTGAAAAGGGAGATCAAAGAACGTATCAGAAAATGGAAAGCTATCCTTTGATCATTGATAGGAGGAACCAACATAGTGAAAATAGCCACATTCCCAAAACTATTACACAGATTCAATATAATCTCAATTAAAACTCTGTTAGCATAACTCACAGATCCAGAGAAAAATTCCTAAAATTCATTTAGAACCAGAAGAGACCTAGAACAGCACAAGCAGTTCTGGACAACAAAGGAAGTCAGGGGACATCACAATCCCTGATGTCCCTACCAAAATTAAAATTACCCTACCAAAGCTCCTATGATAAAATCAACATATATTGGGAAAAAAAAAAATCAACAGACCTGAGGATCAAAAGAACAGAATAGAAGATGCAGACAAAAACTACAAACTGTACCACCTTGCCTTGAACAAAAGAGCCAAGCATGTTCAGTGGAAGAAAGATAGTGTCTTTAACAAATGGCACTGGAAAAACAACTGCTTTCCACATGCCAAAAATTAAAGTACATTCATGTCTCCTACCATACACTAAACTACAGTTAAAACAGAGACAGCAAATGAGACTGAGTGTGGTGGCACACGCCTGTGATCTCAGAACTTAGCTGAAAACAGGAACGATCACTATGAGTCCAATTTGTGTAGTGAGACTCTGTAGACCCTGTACTAAATACATAACAAAGGATCAAAGATTTAGATATTAAAATGTAAGCACTGAATATATTGGAAAAGAAAAGAGGTAGAAATCTGAAGACATAGATGTAGGCAAAAACTTCTTGAAAAAAAACCCCGAAGGCAAGGGAAATTTAAAAGAAACAAAAATCAAAACAAATTGGACCTCCTCTTAGTAAAAAGCTTTTGACCAAAAGAAATTACAATAAAGTGAAAGACAATCCTCCCAGTTACAAAGTATTATAGTCAGTTGTCTCTTAGACAAAGGACTTACATCTAGAACATACAAGAATTTAAAAAATCAGGCCCCTACAATTCAAACAATCTATCCAAAACTGGGCATTGGAGATGAATAAATACTTCTTAGACAAATAAATACAAACAGTAAATAACTATATGAAAAAATGTTCAACGTCCATAGTCATTCAAAAGATGCAAATTAAAACAACAATGAGATTCCCTCTCACCAAAGAAAGAATGACTGTCATCAAGAAATCCACCAATAACAAATGCTGGAGGAGCTGTGGAGAAAAAAGAACCCTTCTCCACCATTGGTGAGAATGTAGACTAGTACAACTACTGTGGAAATCAGAGTGAAGAAACTCAGATGAGAGGTCTCATTCCATCATTATTCCTCTTCTGGGTACCTTCCCAAAAATATTAACACCACATCACAGTGATATATGTGTAGTCATGTTTATAGTAGCACAATTTGTAATAACTAAATCTTGGAATCAAGTCAAATGCCCACCAACTGAGAAATGAATAAAATAAATTGAAAAAAAAAAAAAATCGAGTACTTAGAGCCAGCCAGATAGTTCAGTGGATAAAAGAGCTTGCTTAGGCAGACATAAGGGACAGGGGTTCAATCCCCAGCCTGCCATGTAGGCCCCTCCCCTGGGGTGCACTGAGATGGAGAGTGAGACTGGGCATAGTGGTGCCCGCCTGTAATCCCGGCACTTGGGAGGCTGAAAAACAGGAAGGATCACTGCAAGTCCAATCTGTGTAGTAAGATTCAGTAGACCCTGTACTAAATGCATTAAAAAAAAATTGAGTACTTAGTCATAACAGAAGATAATCTACAGACTTTTATAGGTAAGTTGATGCAACTCCAGAGCATACTCATAAGTGAAATACATCAGACCCACAAGAGTAAACATCCTATTGTCGCATTAGTGTGAGAAACTGAAGAAGTAAATAAGATCCAAAGTGTAAATAAGTGTGAACAGGGAAGAAACTATTCAAAAGAAAAAAAAAATGTGATGGAAGACGGGGGAAAGGAAGGAAAAGAAAAAAATGTATATTTACACAAGATAACATAGTTATATAGCTTGTTTCTCTTGAAAGTTTTCTGCTAATATCTGTACACATGCCTACATCTTGTACTCTGAACAATTACGAATATAACTATATATACAATGTATAAATGTTAGTCTCCTAACAACCTGTTTTGAAATTTCTTTTATTGCTATTTTTACATTTTTCTGATTAAGATAAAAATTAAATAAAAATATGAGGAAGAAAACATACATGAACATCCGTTCTGTCTGCAATCCATTTTGCTAGCTGTTCAGCCGCAAATCCAATCCTTTGAAGGTCAAAAGTATCAGCTCTCTTGGGTCTCCCTTTCGGTGGAAAATGCATGAATGTAGGAGCAGAGTTCATATTGAGCTGTAAAACATATGATTAAGGAATACTAAATATAATACCAACCCAATATTCTTCATATATCATCAATGTAACACATTACTCCTTTTTGCATCAATTCTGGAAATAGCATTTCAAAAATTCAAATGGCTTTCCATTTAATTTCTGATTTTATTTATATTACTGAACTAATTGATTAAATTACTGAATTTGACTAAACTGTCTGAATTCTCACATTTCACATATATCATTCATAATTCCAACTGTGCCTTCTGTATTTTAACAGCCACTGTGCTCTTTCCATTTCTGGAATTTTGTAATTAAAGAAAAAAAGGACTAAAGACACAAATAGAAATACTGTGATTTGACAGGTACATGGTTATTACAAACATCCATGAGTGTATGTGGATTAGTTCATTTCTTCAACAGTTATAAATTCTGAAATGAACAAGCATACGTAGGAACAATTTCAGATACATTAAAAGTAGACTGTACATTCTATTACAGATGTAAAGACTTTTTGTCATGATGATAACTAAGCAATAGAAACAAACATTTTTACTCTATACAACTTGAAATTACCAGACTACTAAGGAAATCTCCAATACATATTATTTTCTGCTTAGTTTCTCTATTAAATCAGCTATTAAAATGGATATCACGGAAATATTTTCTATTTTCAATCTTAATTGTAAACTATATAGAATACTACCCAGTAAAAATGATTCTCATTATTTTAAATAATAGATTAATTGGCATTGAAGTACAAATGGAAATATATTTCTACTACCCAGAATTATTTTTACAATCTTAAAATGTAAGGTCAAGACATTTTTAACTCATTTTCAGTATAGCTCAGTTTTTCCTAATAATGAGTGAAATTCAGCTCATATAACATGTATTAGATAAGAGTTGACATCAAGGTAAGGACATTGTAGTGAAAGTTTACCTACCCATAACAAAGTATAGTCAAGACCAAAATAATTTCTGCTCTATAAATGAACTTGACTATAGCTGTCTTACTTATAAGACAGCTTTCTATCACTTAAGAGTTTCACATAGCGCAAGCACAAATGAATTGAATATTCAAAACAAATCTATGTATATCACATATTTGTCTTATTTCATACGGTAAATGTAAGTGATGTTCAATTATTTTCCTCCATGTTATCTACATTAGTATTTTTCAGCAAGACTGATAACTGACCTATGTGAGCCATCGTTTACAAAACTCACACTGAAATTAACTTTCCATTGCAATTATATTAAGATGTGGAACCTTTACCAAAGTGATGAGGCCAAAAGGGCTCCACCCTAAGAGCTACAAATCCATATGTTCACATGTAGAAACAGGGTCATTACTGAAGAGGGTGTGCATCCCTCTTTCATTTCTCTTGTTCTCTTGCTTGTGATAACAAGGCCCTTGCCAAATACTGCCAGCTTGATACTAGGCTTCTGTCTTCCAAAACTGGGAGCCAACATATTTGTGTCCATTATAAACAAGCCCATTTCAGATACTGGATTATAGTAGCACAGACTAAGACCTTACTTTTTCTAAATAAGCACTAACATTACTTTTTGTCCTGTTTCTTTTCTTGTTCTTTATTATTTTACCCTAACTTCTCATTCTTTCTACAGACTGAAATTTAACCAACTTGTGCAAAAATAAAGTTTGTAATTAAGGGGGGGTGTATGGTCAGGGACACTGCATGCCAATATTATTGTTAAAGTTCTACTATAAAAACAACAATAATATCAGGCATAGAGCAAAATACCTACACATTAGGAACTCCCTTGAATCTTCCTACCAGTCTTATGAAAAAGACTATTTTATTTTCCCTCTCTTAGAAAAAAAAGAGAAAAAAAAAATCACCCTTAAAATGATCACCCTTAAAAAAAAAAAATCACCCTTAAAATGATCAGTAATGTATGAAGGCCACACAGCTAGTTAGAGGTAAAGCTAGAATGTGACCTCAGGCCTTCTAAATACATATAGTTTGTTACCACTATACATACTTTCAGAATGCTCTAGGTATAAACTCATACAACTTCTTAAACTTTTATAAAAACTTTGAGTAAGTACATTATAACATCAAATTACAGATTACAATATGGTACAGGACACAGATTATGATGTAAAAATCATATACATATATCACATGCATAACGTGATACAATTATCTATCTATCTATCTATCTATCTATCTATCTATCTTTGTAAATCAGAAGTCTATCTTGCTTCATTTCCCCATAGTGGGTCTGCATGTAATGGACATTTAGTAATGTTGGTTAAACTGAACAAAGCCTCCAGTTACCCATTCCTTTCTCCTTGTGCTTCTGCTTTAGATTTTGTTCATTTGTGTTTTTCCCATAGATGGAAAAGAGAGCTACAAGTAAAATGTAAATGTAAGATTTTAAGGGAGGAAGTTTCCCTCATCTGGCAATCAGGAAATTCTACTTAAAGCTTAACATTCTACAATATATAGTTTTTAAAAGATACATAATCTGATGCCTTCCCTTTAATTAAAATGTGCATATTCCCCATGGCTCCTCAATGCAGAGCACAAAATGAGACTCCTTTTAGAGACCAGAGCTCCTTTATGCACAGTGCATTCATGAACCAATCAGCCTGTCATCAGACAAGTGGCCTCACCATTTCTGTGAAAATTACATAAATATGGATAAATAGACATAGATATAGATACAATTGAATCTGCTTTCCCCAAAACTTACCCAAAAAGCTAAAAGCTGTAAGTTCCTACTCTTCTTATTAATACTGTCTTCAAAAACTTCACTATTCTGAAAGTGCGTTAGAACACCAGTTTACAGAGAATATTTCAACAAAACATGACTCATTGGGAAGGAAAACATAAGTACTAAATATCTTTCAGTGGTTCTCAAGTGCAGCAAAATAAATATTTTCCCAAAATTGAAGATGACAGTTTCCCATAAAGATCAGTTAACTCCTATAACTTTTACGCATTTCTGCATTTTAAAATGAAAACTCTTATTTCTAAGCCAGGGGCTACGATTTAGAAAAGACAAAGCAGATCTATATTAGAAATTCTGTGGAATCAAAATTAACCAGAGGAAACTTTTCAATTAAAAAATTCTCATAACTATTAAGAATTTGTTATAAAGTTAGCATATATAAAAAATTCAACCATTAAATCTATATGCAGCCTACAGTCAGAACAGCACAAACCCAGATTAGTTTTCCCCCACAATATTGTTTTTGTCTGAAATTTAAATTAGCTGTCAACCTGTTAAAGACAGAAATTTTACATAAAAACTCCTATCAGAGAAACTGATCTAGCTACATATAGCCTGTCTATTTTAAATAGAGTTGGAGCTAATCTGCTGAGGCCAAGCATGTCCTCTCCAGTGCGCCACAGACTCCACCCAAAACTAAGTGTTCCTCACCGATGAGACCAAGAGTCAGATATACACTGTTCTGCCTACTGTATTCTTATAGCAATGAGAAGCAAAAGGAAATAAGAGTGCTTCTATTAAACGTGATTTATTTATGTAAAGAAAAGACCAAGAGAGATTGTAATAAAAGTGGGAGAAAGTATATTTGTGTAAATGAAGTACTAATATACTTACTATACTAAATATGTAATTGAACAAAAGTTATAATGAAACTAAACTAGGACAACACATTTTTCTCATTTACTTCAGAGACCTGTTCAGGCCAGACACCTGAGATGAGCTCTGCTCCAGCAGGCAGGCTGGATACACATGGCTACTGCCAACAATAAGGAAGAATTCAAGTTATATAATGAGGAAATTTCCATCTCAATATCTAAGACCAATTCTTCTCAGAGTCTACAAAAACCAAAATTACATGGTATTTATTTCATAGAACTATGATTTTATCAGTGTATTTCAAATTATATTATTTATGCTTTTCTTCAATAGGACATTATTATTGGCTCCCTATTCTGTAAGCTGCTTGTAAGGAAGAACTATGTAGATTTTTCCTGGCAATTTATTTCTGCTGGAGTAAGTCTAAATAAGAATGAATACTAAGAAACACCCCGTTAGTACAAACAGACATCCCACTAGTTTTATTCAAAATGAATTTATATAAGAAAAAAAAAAAGAACTACTAATAGGAAAAGTTTACTGAAGACAAAATAAGAAAATTTATTCACACTGAGATGGCAATTAAGACTGGGCATGGTAGCACATGCCTGTAATCCCATTGCTTGGGAGCCTGAAAACAGGAGAATCACTATGAGTCCAATATACATAGTGAGACCCTGAACACCCTATAGACCCTCCCCTAAATATAGGAGGAAAAAAAGAAAATTTATTTTACTCAAGTAGAAATTGATAAAGATGAATAAATCTCAAATTAAATTGGTAAAAATATTCACTGATGGCCCATTTACTATCAGGAATAAAAAATGAGCGCTTTTGCATGATCTAGTATAGCATTATGCCTAAGAACATCATACGTGAAAAAGATCCAACGGGCCATTACACTCAAATCAATCAAGGCTGTACTAAGTTTTGCATTTGAAAGAGACTGACAAGGTGCAAAACTATTTTAAAATTAGCAATTATAGGATATCAGTATGATTAAAGACTAAAGACCAGAGAGTGAAATAGCTGAGTTGAAATTTTAGCCACACATTACACTTAATGTTATAGCTTTGGATAAATGACAAAGTCTCCACATATTCATTTCATTTGTGAAACAGTAACACCTCATATGATCATTGTGAAACTAAATGGAAAAATGCATCTAGAACACTCAGTACAGTAACATGATCACAAGCACTCCATTTTACTTAGGATGGTGACACAACCATGACAACATCAGTGCCATTTAACACCCTTATTCCCAAACCCAATACTTTCTCCACCGCAAAGACTGTAAATGAGAATGTATTAGGCTGCTCATGTTACCACTAAAAAGTCAGCTTCTTATACAACAATTTAATTTCTAGCAGTTTCAGAGACTTGAAGTTCAAGATTAAGGTGCTGGTAGGCTTGGTTCTGGTGAAGTTCTTTTCCTAGCTTGCAAATGTAATTTTATTGCTGTGTCTTCACATGGCCTTTTTTTTCACGTACATGCGCTCCTGGTGTTTCTTCCTCTTCTTATGAGGATATTATCACTTCTATATGTAACCTTTATGACCACACTTAACCTTAACTACCTCCTGAAAGTGCAATCTCCAGGTATAGCCACAATATGTTGTCTGACTTTAACACATGAATTTAGTGGGGATGTAAGTCAAGCCTTGACAAACAAAAGCATCTTAAATATTTAGTATTTTACATGTATAATTATCTATGTCTACAACAATGTAGAAATGTTAAGAAAAAGTTTGAATGAATTATAAATGAAATATCATAAATGCATACCACAATTTCCTAAATCATTAAATAACAAAGTAAGATTAATGCATGTAAATTGCCACTACATGCTGAAAAGCACATTTCCTCTACAATACAAAAGTAACGATGTGCTTACTAAATTCACTAATGGCAAAAACTGTATAGCACCAGAGATAACATGATCTGAAATTATTTTACATAACAGAATGTATTAACGATTAAATTTATTCAATGTATTGCATTTTTATCTGACAAAAATGCATAATCATAATAACCAACTCCATTATGTGTTACCAAAATAAAATACAACTGTTTTACCTGCTGAAAAACATCTGTTCCCTCATCATAGTCCACCATACTGAAAAACAGTTTGTTACAAAAAGCAGACGAATAGCGCCAGGAGTTAGCCAGTATTTGATATTCTTCATTAGCTTGCCTGAAAAGAATAATAGGACAGAACATAAAATATCAGTATTCAATTATCAAACCCATTAATAAAACAAGTAATTCTTGGGCAAGAATTTTGTACTGAACTAATAATACTTGAACAGACTGCAAGCTAAATAGTTATAAAAACATTTTAAAAGAAATATGACACAAAATGATACAAAGCTCAAATTTTGCTATTCATACATAGTTTTATTGTAATACAGACACAATAACCATTTACATATTTGACAGCTGTGCTAAAAGAACAAAATTGAATCGTTTTAATAATAACAGCATGCTCAGCAGACTAAGCGCCTGCTTAGGCAAGAGCAGGGACCAGGGTTCAATCCCAGGTCTCCCTTCCTATAAAGGCCCCGCTCCTGGGCACACTGAGCCAGCAACTGAGATCAGGCGTGGTGGCACGTGCCTGTAATCCCAGCGCCAGGGAGGCTGAAAACAGGAGGATCACTATGAGTCTGAGCTACATAGTGAGACCCTGTGCAAAATACATAAAAAAATAAAAATTAAAAATAACAGCATAGAGCACAACCCTGGCCTGGCCCTTTAAAGAAACAGTTTGCTAATTCTTCTTCCAGGGAATAAAAACATGTTGGGGTATTTTCTGAGCATGTAAGTTAAAACTTCCAACAATTCTTAGTAGGAGACACAGAAATTTTTAAGCAATTCTGAAGAATAACTGCAATTTAGTTTTTTTAGAAAAGCAAGGATGTAAGTTGAATATAGTTATACTGAACATTCATGTATTCCACTTACTTAAAAATGCCTTTATATTCAAACTTAAAAGCAAAACTTTCTGAGTTGATAAGCCACAAGCCATGAATCTTCCCCTAAGTTAGTATTTATTCCTATACTATACCCATTTTTATTACATATTTTGCTGATTTTCCTGATGATAATGCTTTATACTTAGATGTAAGGAGATAGCAAAAGTAGAAAACTGGCATTACTGGAAGTATATAAACACAGTAAAAGAAACATGAAGTAACAAGTTGTTGCTCAAATATTAAAAAAGAACAGTAAAAATGATTTTTCTTTATACTTGACTATTGTCAGGAATGTATTTCTCCTTTTATCCAAAAATGTAACTAAATGAATAGGTATGATACCACAATAGCAAAAAGATTTAGTAGCATCAGCAGTAGATAAAAAGTTGCAAATAAATATTTGGAAAATAGCTGGTAAAACAGTTTTGATAAAAAAGCTACACTTTCAGAGGCAAGTGCAGCACAGTAAGAAACTAAGAAAAATACCAGATTCTTCAACAGCACATGCTGGATAAAAGAAATAAAGCTAAACGCAAGTATCATAATTAAACTTCTCTATACCAATAATAAACCCAACTTCTGTATCACCCCAACTAACCCCAAGCTTAGCCTTTCTACTGTCCCATGATTAGATTTCCAAATAAATCAACATATACATAAGGAAAATCTGATTTTTTAAAAAAGTTATTTTTAATTTTAAAAAGTAATTTAAAAACAGGAATTTCCAGGGCCGGTTTGATAGCTCAGCGAACTAAAGCACCTGCTTAGCCAGAGCACAGTGCTAGGGGTTGGAATCTGGCTTGCCATTCCAGCCTTGCCCCTGGTACACACTGAGACAATAACTGAGACTAGGCATGGTGCATGCACCTGTAAACCCGGCGCTTGGGAGGCTGAAAACAGGAGAATCAGTTTGAGTCCGACCTATGTAGTCAGACCCTGTAAATCCTGTAGACCCTGTCCTAAATACAGAATTAATTAAATAATTAATTAAAATAAAAATAGGAAGGGCTGGCTAAATAGCTCAGTAGATTAAAGAGCCTGCAAGCAGGTACAGGGGCCAGGGGTTTGATCCCCCGGCCTGCCATGACAGTCTCTCCCCCAGGGCATGCTGAGAAGGCAACTGAGACTGGGCATGGTGGTGCCTTTGGGAGGCTATAAACAGGTGGATTACTACAAGTCTGATCTAGTAGTGAGACCCTGAACACCCTGTAGATCCTTCCCTAAAATACAAAAAATAAAAAATAAAAATAGGAATTTCCACACAAAAACTGATTCCACAAGAATCAAAACATTAAAATAATAATCACACACTTAAAAAAGAGAAGATACTTCAGTTGTCAAAAACTACACAGGGTCTGTGACTGTATACTAGGGCCTAAAGGTTAATCTGTTAATATTACACTAATTCCCATGAAAGACACACATTGTTGGGTCAGAGACAAAAGACTTTACTACTTCCTTTTTCTCTGCACTAGCTCCCTTTGATCCAGTTTCCCAAGGTGCCACAAGGGCTCTTCATGAATGCCAGCACAGCCAACTGACCTCAGAGGACTTACTACCTCTATAATAAGGATAAAAGTCTGTGCTGTGTGTGCCAAGAGCCAGGTAACTCTTTAAGGCTTTGCAGAGCACACACAGCCCTGATGCGCTGCCCAGTAAAGAGCAGTAAGCCCTGTGTGCTCTTGCCACACCCAGGTGGAAGGCACAGGATGCTCAGAGCCCACGAAGATGGTTTCATCCAACATTCCCAAAAATTTAATGATAATAAAGAAATAATTAAAAATCAAACACTAACCTAGACATATAATACAGTAAATGTACTTTGAAAAAGTATAAATGCATAGGCAACAAAAAATGAGCCAGAAGAGATTACATCAAAGTAAAAACCTGCTACTGTATAGCAATGGAAAAAGACCGCAAAGAGAGAATGTACAGAATGGGAAAACAGTACAGAGGTTCCTTAAAAACTAGAAAGAAAACTAGCATATGATCCAGCTGGGTTATTTGTCCAAAGGAAATACAATCAATATATCAAAAAGATACTACTTGCACTTCCAGGGTCAGGGCACAATTCATGGGCACGGCATCTGCCTACCAAGCGCAAGGTCCTCAGTTTGATTCCCAGTTTAAAAAAAAAAAAAAAAAAAAAAAAAGATACCTGTACTTCCACATTTAGTATAGCACTGTAACAAGTCTCATATTATAAACACCAATGGGTAATAATATAAAACACCATAGTAAATAATACAAGGTATATTATGATCAATCTTCTTTTTAGAAGACAATATCCTCTCATTTGCAGCAATTCAGATGAACTTGAGAGCATAATGTTGAACAACACAAGGCAGTAACAGAAAGACAAATACCACATGGTCTCACTCACAAATAGAAGGTATTTTTTTGAAAGCTGAACTCACAGAAATAAGAAACAAAACCATAGTCACCAGACATAGTGGAGAGCACAGTGGAGGAATGGGCAGCAACTGCTTAATGGGTACAGAGTCATAGCCAACAGGTGACACAATTAGTGCTGTGGTGGTGCACAGAAAGTGACCAAAATGAACAGTACTTTATCCACAGTACAAAACAGCCAGAAAAAAACACTTTTCACTGTTCTCATCAGAAATAAATGATACATGGCTGGGCCATCTAAGTGTCCTGAGTTCAATATACAATAAACACATATACCAGGACTTCACCCTGTACTCCATAAAGATGTACACAGATTATCATTTGTTTAAAAAGATTTTAAATAGATACTCTTTTGGAGAGCAAACAAGAAACTGAATGTAAAACATGAGAGGAAACATTTCCAGAGCTAATAAATTAAAGGAAACTACCCAGTTTCTAAGTAAATGGCCTGAAAAAAAAGATCAACAACACTATGCCAGAACACTACAGATAATAAGATTCAAAAGATTTTCATAGAAAGAAAATTTTTCTAATAAGGACAAACAAGATCAGATTGGACTGGTCATCAGCAACATCAGACGCTGGTAGACAGAATAACACCTTGAGAGTTTTGCAGTAATATTTTCAATTTAGAATTCTACATTGAGACAAATAATCCAGTTTGAAATAAACATTTTCTCCAAAAATGTAAGGAACCTGAAATTTACCTCCATTACATTTGCTCAGAAAATTACCTTAGCATATAACTGATAAAAAGGGTTCTATAAATGAAAAAGTAAAAAACATGAGACTATAACCAAAGCACTAAAAGAAGGAGAAAAGTAAAGAAATATTACTCCAATTATGAAGCCAGGAAGCAGCCACTGCGAATTATAACAGAATTTAACTGAGTATCAAGATGAAGAGAAGAGATTCTAAGGAATCGTTAAAATCATAAACGGAAGATATAAAGACCACAGTAAAACAACTGCTCCTGAACAAAGAAAAGCAATTATGAAAAGAACATAAGAGGCACAATCCAAATAAGAACCAAATATAACTAACTAGTGAAAAATTATTTTAAACAGTCTCTTATGAGTGAAGTAGAGGTTTTAAATACTGGTCCTGACGAAAAGAAAAATAGGAAAAATAACCATTTTTAGATTTTCATCATCTATCTACAATTCTTTAATACAATGACTTGAGATGGCAGTAATGTTGAATTTCTTTTTCTTCATACTGCTCTAATCCAGCCCAGACTTACTGGCACATACTAAGTACACACTGATTCAGTCACTTAATTCAATCCACCAGTCCATATCTGTAAAAATAATGTGATTGATGATGCTGGGTAAATGACAAATGCAGAGCCCCTTATCTCAAGGAGCTTATGTTGTGGTGAAAGCATGAGACAGACCTTGTACAAAGAAACATGAACTACTGCGTAATTATAAATACAAACTTTAAAAAGAAAGCAAAAGTAAATGTGATAAAGACTGATGAACAGTCAAGAGAAGAAATTCATATTGCCTGCAAACATTCCACTTTTCAGATTATATTCCAGTAAGCAATTTGGAGGTACAATGCAAAATCCTGAAAATGCTTCCCACAGAAGAGATAATTAAGGTAATGAGGACATACCCTGGCTACAACCTGTATTGTTTGTCACTGACTACATGCCAGACCCAAAGAATCTGTCTTATGAACCTCTTACACCATCTAGTCTTATGACGTGTACTAATTATTTTGCTCAGAATAACTTTCCCTTCTTTCAAAGTTCACTCAAAACCATAACTTCTTTGAAAGTCATTTCAGACATCCATACTTACAC